AAACAAAACAAAACATGAGTTGAATTCCTTTATGCCACAATCAAAGAGATATTAAGTGTCATTATGTGTCAGAAACTACATTATGCAATAGAAACAGAGGTAAGTAAAAGATATAATTTCTGCTTATAAGGTGTTCACAGTAAAGAAATGTGGTAGAATGCTTTGATGCATTATCCAAACTGTCATTTAAAGTGACTGCTATGGTTTGAATATCCCCTCCAAAATTCATGCTGAAATTTAATTTCTAGTGTGGCAGTATTGAGCAGTGAGTCCTAATTTATGAATGGATTAATGGGGTTAATGGATTAATAGGTTATATGGTAGGAGAACAAGTGGCTTTATAAGAAGAAAAAGAGACCTGAGCTAGTACATTAGCATACTCAGCCCCTTTGCCATCAGAGTCTCAATCAGCAAGAAGGTTTTTGCCAGATATAGCCCCTCACCCTTGGATTTCTCAGCCTCCATAACTGTAAGAAATAATTGTTTTCTCTTTATAGATCACCCAGTTTCAGGTAGTCTGTCATAAGCAACAGAAAACAGACTAACACAGTGACCTTTTATAATCTGCCCATACCATCTCTATCCAATCTTATTTTCCACTATTCCACAATTTTTTCCTCATTGCCCAATACCTAAATGATTCCTTCTCTCCAATGCTTCTAAAAATATTGACTTTGGAAATGATTAATAGTTTCCAATTGACTTACTCTAATGATTATTGTCCAGATTTCTTCCACATGACCTCTAGTAGCATTTGACATTATTGATTATTCATTCCTTGAAATACTCTTATCTTTGCCTCCTTTGTATTCAGACCACTGAATCCTCTTTTCTCCTATTTAGATCTTGACCAACTCTAATAACCATTTTAGAAATAGTAAACAAATAAGGTAGGGTGCACTGGCTAATGCATCAGTGGGAGGCCAAGGCAGGTGGATTGCTTGACCTCAGAAGTTCAAAACCAGCCTGAGCAAGAGTGAAACCTTGTCTCTATTTAAAAAAAAAAAATTAGCCAGGTGTCAGGGCGAGCACCTGTAGTCCCAGTTACTCAAGAGGCTGGGGCAAAGAAGATTGCTTGAGCCCAAGAGTTTGAGGTTGCTATGAACTATGATGACACCAAAGCACTCAACCCAGGGGGGTACACAGTGAGACTCAGTATTCCCCCTCCCCCCCCAAAAAAGGTAAAGAAAAGTAATAGTATACAAATGGGTTAAAAACAAAATTTTAAAGTACCTATTCTAATATAGGTGGCCAGGTGAGGGCTCAACTACAACTTGAACTTTACCTCAGAAATAAAAACAATGCAACCTAAACATTTATTCCCTCATATCAATCTGAAATTTAAAAATATAAATAAAATGAAGATTAAAGCAAAATAACACATCTGGTCCTCTTTTCTGGCCTATATGTAATCTGCAAACCTTAAGTACCAAAAGATGAATGCAGTAAGAACAAATTAATGAATATGAATTGTATTAGTCAAGGTTATAATTTCTGTGCTGAGATGGAAATTTTGCTGAATGAGAAGAAGCATCATTAACCACTGTTATCAAACTGAATGGCTTTGGAAATTAGCTTTTGCTGAAAACTTTATAATATTTCTTAATTATTTCAACCTAAAGTTAAAAGGCAAAACAGTACTTATATGTGAAATTTATACTGAAGTAAAGCCATTTGAATGTTTATTGAGGTTGTCTGAATCATAAGTAATGTCAAAATTGTGCTACCAAGAGTAAAAACAAGAAATGAGATATGTATTTTCCCACAAAGTTCTGAAGTAGATATATCTTCTCAGCTGATACTGTGGTTCCACCTAAAGCAAAAAAGAAACTGTCCCAGTTTTTAGCACTTAAAAGTCCCAAATCCTAAGAATCCACTTGGTCCCAGAAAACTGGAACAACTAGTCTCCCTAATTCTGGCATTGTTTTCTGGACCTGGGTTAAAGTACAAAGGAATTTCCATATTTCAAAATCTATCACCTGTGCAACTGAAGAGTTTCTATCTAACTTTCAACTGGAAGTGATTAATCTGCAAGGTAATAACATGCTATAAGTATCAGGAGAAGACTATAATAGAATTCTATAAAATACTATGCTATTCATTGATATCAGTATTTGCTAGCACTTAACTATTTGAAAAGACATTTTCAGAGGTGAAATATATAAAATCTCATCAGATAAGCATTAAAATAAAAGTGTGCAGTGGAGTTTGATGAGAAAGAATACTAAATTTGAACCCTAATGAAATGAAATGCTATCCTATTCTCATTAGGGGACTTTTTTTTAAGAAAAAATATTCAATTATTATTATAGTTTGAATTTCATCAATAAAAATTTCATGGAATTTTTCTGTCTTGTTATATAAGTACCAATATCTTCAATTTTTCCTCTGACCCCACCAAGCCTAAAATATTTACAGTTTGGCCCTTTATGTGATGTGGGCCCCTCGTCTAGACAAATATAGTTAAGGAATGAGTACTGTCACAGTTGACAAGAAACTAAATGAAGCAGTAACACTGGCTTTTATGATAAAAATAAAGAGAACTGGTATATATTTAAAAGTCTATAACATACCAGACTTAGAATCAATCACTTTGCTATACTACTCTCTTTAGATGTCCATTTAGAATCTAGATTATAGATCTTAAAACCTCTGCTGTGAAAATTAATCTTCCTTTATATGAAGACATTGGCATGGATTCAAGGAAGACTGACAATGACTAACATGAAAAAATGTATATATTTTTTAAAAAGTTTTTTTAAATGAAGTTGTTTAGCTTAAAAATGTCCATATTACAGAAGTAATGACTACTGTGTAAAATTATACAAACTACCCTGGATAGTTTATGGTTTATGGAAAATGTTCTAAAACATGACAAATTAAAGCAGGAGAGTTTGGTTTTAGTTTTATTTAGCCATAAAAAGAATTTATTGACTAAATTTATTGAAAAACAAAATGTTGAACCAGTTTCTAAAAAAAATTATTAATTTTATACTCGTGGAGATGTTCTAAGATGGGATAACTATTTTATTGCCTCTTTTCTGTGGCGCCTGGGAGGCGTTCAGATACTTCAGGATGAAGCTGAACATCTCCTTCCCAGCCACTGGCTGCCAGAAACTCATTGCAGTGGACGATGAACACAAACTTCGTACTTTCTATGAGAAGCGCATGGCCACAGAAGTTGCTGCTGATGCGCTGGGTGAAGAATGGAAGGATTATGTGGTCCAAATCAGTGGTGGGAACGACAAGCAAGGTTTCCCCATGAAACAAGGTGTCTTAACCCATGGCCGGGTCCGCCTGCTGCTGAGTAAGGGGCATTCCTGTTATAGACCAAGGAGAACTGGAGAAAGGAAGCGCAAATCTGTTCGGGGTTGCATTGTGGATGCCAATCTGAGTGTTCTCAACTTGGTTATTGTAAAAAAAAAGGAGAGAAGGATATTCCTGGACTGACTGACACCACGGTACCTAGGCGTCTGGGGCCTAAAAGAGCTAGCAGAATCCGCAAACTTTTCAGTCTGTCTAAAGAAGATGATGTACGCCAATACGTTGTGAGAAAGCCCTTAAACAAAGAAGGTAAGAAACCTAGGACCAAAGCACCCAAGATTCAGCGTCTTGTAACTCCGCGTGTCTTGCAACATAAGCGCCGGCGTATTGCTCTGAAGAAACAGCAAACTAAGAAAAATAAGGAAGAGGCTGCAGAATATGCTAAACTTTTGGCCAAGAGAATGAAGGAGGCCAAAGAAAAGCGCCAGGAACAGATTGCCAAGAGACGCAGGCTGTCCTCTCTGAGAGCTTCCACTTCTAAGTCTGAATCCAGTCAAAAATAAGGATTGTTTTTGAGTAACAAATAAATGAGTTAAATGAGAAAAAAAAAAAAAACAAAGAAGGGATAACTATTTTATTGTAGAATGTAAACAGTTATCTTCCCAAAGGCAAGAGCCAATCCATTATTTTTAAAAATTCAGATGTACTATGAAAACATTACAGATTTTGTAGCATAGAGCTATATTATGTTACAAGTGCTATGAAATTATTGAAAGATAAAACACTCCAAATGATACAAAAAGCACACCCCCAATAGCAAGTAATTTTGAGTCAGTGACAAATATTTTTATACATACACACACACAATCATCATCAACACATTACTTAGTGCTACAACTATGAGGAAGAAGTAAAGGGGGAATTAGATGCTGCCAAGAAGCTTCAGTAAGTGTATAATCTACTTGGGAAGGTAAACTAAAGGAAAAACAAGTCTAGTGCCAAATGAGTAGTATATGTAAGCACGAAGCGCTGGAAGAGAAGAGAAACAATTGGGATTTACAAATACCACTGATTATACACAGTAACTTGTTTCAGGGATGAGAATATGTAAATTAACACCTGTTAATAATATCCATCAGTAATGAAAAATTAAGATTGTGGCAGTTACGACAGTTCTTTTCCCTGAGCATATAAAGTAAGGAAGTTTCTTTTAAAAGCATCATTTTGATGTACTAAGCCAATGTCTACAGGAATAGTGCTTCTATTAGAGCAGATAACATAACTCATCACATACAGTTTTATTTCCCACTGAAAAAAAAAAAAAAAAGCCTCATAAAACTCTACACAGTTCCCTAGGTAACCACCACTAATCAACCAGAATTGGCATTTAGATGAAACTTACTTGCCATGTTTGTTTTAAGGTATCAGTTTAAAAACACAAAGAACATACAGACATAGTCTACTCATTTGATTTCAGTGTGGTTATTAGCCATACATGTATATATGCAAATAACTGATACTTTCATACTATGTGAGAGTTTTTACTTTCTCTAGTTTTCGGCATTTTAATTTATTTAAGTTATGATTATTTGGGGTATTTTTTTTTAGTGAATATAAAAATTTTAATTTAAACTTTTTATTAATAAAAATTAATTTTATTAATGTTAATTTTATCAATATTTTATTAAGGTTTTATTTTATTTTAAGATAATTAATGTTCTGATCTTTTGTTTTAGAAGGAGAACTGAAAGAAGACTATAGAAGACAGGTAAAACACTCTGTCTTACTGTTTTTCTCTTTTAATTTAAATATTTTATGTATGTTTTGATTATTTTGACTCAGGAAACACTGTGTATTCATGTGCATTAACTAAATTAACAGTTTCTAGAAAACTATTCAACTTTTTAGCATTACCAAGTGGTATTAAAGGAATTATTTTTAAAATAAAATTATTCATAATGTAATATGTACAGATGAATTGGATGCAAAATAATCTTGAATTGGATTCAAAATAATCTAGTGAGGAGGAAGTAGAAGGGATATAAATGAATTAAGAGTCACCAGGAATTGATAATTATGAAACTAGGTGATGGGAAATTTAACAGTTTATAAATATAATTTGGATATTTGAAATTATCCCAAAAAATTAAAGGCTATAATAATGATGAAATTATAAAATACTTTTTTTTACATTTAGGTATACTTTTTACAAGTAATGCATATTTAAAAAATCACATCTTGTATAGGTGCAGTGCCTCATGCCTGTAATCCCAGCACTTTGGGAAGCCAAGATGGGAAGAGTGCTTGAAGCCAGCAGTTTTGAAAAAATAGAAAGAATTATCCAAGCATGGTGGCACATGCCAGCTATTCAGGAGGCTGAATCTCTTTAAAAAAAAAAAAATAGGTCTGATGAGTGATTCTGAACCCCTTTCTATATTCTGTCCCTGAAGTCATATTTAAGTTCCTAGAAAGACATCACATCTAAGTTCCTAGTTCAACTTCCTATTATACAAATATCAAAAAGGTTACATATAAATCAGAGAAGTACCTATAAGTTTATTAATCATCCATATAGCCCACAATGGATTATCATAGTAACTGATTCGTTATGAGACTTGAGTGTGAATGACAGTTCCACAATTATGAGTATTACAACTCTGGACAAATCATGTCATCTTTTTTAGCCTCAACTTCTCCATCTGTAAAACAGACATAATTCTGTATACCCCAAAGGATTTTTATAAAACACCACTATAAACACCAACATGGTAGGACTTAATGATATAGAACTATACTAATAATTATCAACATTGTTGTTTCAATCAACCTCTCTCTAAACAGATCTCTATTGAAGATAAAATAATCTTGATTAGTTTGGCAGCAAATAATCCATATTGCAGTTGTATATACATGCATTAACTTTGCATTTAATTTTCTATAAAAGAAACTTTACCTCAAATTTTATGTATTTTAAATAGCTCATTTTTTTTTTAGAACACTTGCTTTAAAAAAGATAGCATCCCACCAAAACTTTACAGACATCTCCACTTAGATATACATGTATACATAAGGTCCAATCAAGAAATTCACTTCCAAAAATCTTTCTGGAAGGGTTTTTGTACAGAATAAGGGAAACATCAGTTTGTACACTAAAGTTAGAATATGCCAGGTGCAGCTGCTCACGCCTATATTCCTAACATTCTGGGAAGCTAAAGCAAGTGAATCACTTGAGGCCAGTTCAAACTAGCCTGGGGAACACTGTGACACCCCATCTTATTTTTCATAAAATAAGAAAAATCATCTAGGCATGGTAGTGTGTGCCTGTACATCCAACCTATTAAGTAGCTGAGACATAGGATCCCTTGTGCCCAAGAATTTGAGGCTGCAGTGAGCTATGTTATGTCACTGTACTCCAGCCTCAGCAACAGAGTGAGACTCTGTCTCTGATAATAATGTATAGAAATTATTATAACCTAATTTATCACAAGACTTTGAGTTCAGATGATACTGTACTGAGTTCAGATTACTATTAATTCACACACACTTTATTCTCAGCCCTTTGATTTCTTGTTTAGAACTTGTTATTAAGTACAAGTAAGACACCATTTATACCAATTACACCAATTACTATGGCATATAAAGGTCTTAATTTCAAATTTCCATATACTACATTTTAAGTAGTATTTGTATTCTTTACATAATTTTCTTTTAATTTATATTAAGAGTTATTAACTATTGTTCAACATATTTCTCATCATCAATTCTTTGTCAGTTTAAACCAATTGAATATATTCAATAAAATAAAATACTATCACTAATACTTACAAAGTGCTTATTATATGGTTGGAATTGGTTGGAATAGCACCTTATGTGTTTAATCCAGTTAATATAACTGTGTTGAGCCAGAGTACTGTGACATCATAGTTCACAGCAACCTCAAACTCTTGGTTTCAAGCGATCCTCTTGCCTCAGCCTCCCAAGTAGCTGGGACTACAGATGCCCACCACGATACCTGGCTAGTCTTTTCTGTTTTTAGTAGAGACAGGGTCTTGCTTTTGTTCAGGCTGGTCTCAAATTCCTGAGCTCAAGCAATCTACCTGCCTCGGCCCCTCAGAATACTAGGATTACAGATATGAGCCACTATGCCTGACCCAAAGAAAATTATTAACATTAACAGTACCTTTGATTTCCCCTGGATGCCCCTTAATTACATTCTTCTCCCTCTGCCTACTCTTGCAATCTTCAATATTGTGCTATCCTTCCCTCATTTGTCTTTATACTTTTCCCATATGATGCTATATTTACAAATAACATCTAATTTAGTTTTATCTTTCTGAATTTTATATAAATAGAAACATAGTGCATTCATTGTTACTTTTTTACACTCAGTATTATGTTTTTTAATACATCATGCTGATGTGTATAGTGTAGGTGTATTCATTTTTACTGCCCATACCATTTCACTGAATATCATAATTTATTAATCCACTCTACTCAGTTTACTCATTCTTCTACCTTTTTTTTTTTTTATAGAGTCTCACTCTGTGGTTCCAACTAGAATGCAGTGGCATCATCATAGCTCACTGCAACCTCAGATTCCTGGGTTCAAGTTATCTTCCTGCCCCAGCCTACCCAGTAGCTGGGACTGCAGCCAACATCTACTTTTTCTATTTTTAGTAGAGACGTTGAGTCTTTTGCCCAGGCTGGTCTCGAACTCCTGAGCTCAGGCAATCCTCTCGCTTGGACCTCCCAAGGTGCTAGGATTACAGGCATGAGCTACCATGCCTGACCTGTTCTATCGTTAATGGGAATTTAGGTTGATTCTAGCTTTTTCTATCACAAACTATGCTGCTATGAACATTCTTTTACACATCCCTAGGGTATATACTTAGGAGTGAAATTTCTGGTCACAGGCAATCCACATCTTTAATTTTAGTAAATAATTCCAAAGTAGTTTTACCAATTTGTATCCCTACCAAACAAATATGAGTTTCCATTTCTCTACATCTTGCTAATACTTAGATTTAAAACTCAGATTTCTAAATTTTGCCATTTCTAGTAGCTGTGCAGTGGTTTCTCACTGAAGTTTTAATTTGCATTTGCCTAATTAATAGTGAGGCTGAATATCTCTTCATATGTTTCCAGTCACTGTATTTCTTCTTCCTTGAAATGCCTTTTCCTATATTTTACTCATTTTCTATTGCATTTTTCTATTGCTTTTTCTCACTGATTTGTAGTCATTCTTTTCATGTTCTCGAAACTAATCCTTTGTCAGTGTTACACATGACTTTTCCTAGGTTGTTACTTGTCTCTTCCCTGTCTTTATACGTGTTTCCCCAAAAATAAAACACTGTCTTATATTTATTTTTTCTCAAGAAGACACACTAGGGCTTATTCTCAGGGGATGTCTCCCTCTCCATGCCGAAATGCATGGCACGGCTATGCAGGGTACCTGCATAGCCACACCCATCACTAGGTCTTATTATCAGGGTAGGGCTTACATTTAACAAATGCATAGAAATCCTGCTAGGGCTTATTTTGGGGGTAGGTTTATTTTCAGAGAAACACGGTAGTTAAGAAAGAAAAATTTGACTATATTAGAGAATGTACCATCCTTTCCCTTTATGTATCGTTTCAGATGTCCTTCTCTACTCCCAATGTCATACAGATATTCTTCTGTTATTTAAGTTTTTGCCTTTCAAGTTAATGTCTATATTCCATTTTGGTTCAGTGTGTGTATACACATGTGTGCATCTGCTCCTATGTTCTTTTGATATGATCCCATTAGTTCAGTTGATTATTACACCTAAATATCTCTAGAAACTAGCCCTATAACCATTATAGTTTATATCTTAATCATTTTCACCTGGAGTATTGCTTCCTAATTATTAGCCTTGTCTTTATACCTATCACTATCACTACCACTACTTCCTCCAGTCTGGCCTCCAGAGTAATCTACCTAAAGTATCATTCCAAGCTCCTTATTATGGCATATATGACTCTTCATTACCTAACCTGCTCCTTCCTGTTTCATTGTTATGTCCCTGATACCTGTTATATTACTTGGCACGCTATAGTTGGTCAATGAATGTTTATTGAACCAAACTAGACCTATGTAGACTTACGTACCTTCTCATTAACAATATTTTATTGCAAAAAAAAAGGTAAATGTAAAGTTCTAAGATTGTACAAGTAAACATCCCCATACAGTAAAAATTTACATATTCACTATCTACATTCTACAATTAATGTTTTACAATAATTGCTTTATCACTTATCTGTCCCTTGATCTATCCCTTTATCAGTCCTCATCCTTTTTTCTTATCTCTTATTATATTCAAACATCTTATTTTGAAAGTAGTTTGTAGGTTGTAGTACACTTCATTCCTCTAGCTACTTTAGCATACATATTATTCACTAAAATTTAATATTTGTTTACAATCCTTCCTTTCCCCTGTAAAGTGTATATAAATGAAATGTACAGATTCCATTATGAGTGTCTGGACACGTATAATACATAATATGTATATTTTATATTATACCTTTATTATTATAGATTCAAACCCCCATCAATTTCCCAGATGACTTTCACCCAAATAATTCTTTTAGTTAGTTCAAAATATTATAGAGATAAACAAATATTTTTGGTTACATGGATCACTTTTGTTATTTATGCTTGAGTCAGTGTTATTAGTGTGTCCATCACCCGGATAGTGTTCATTGTACCTGTTAGGTACATTATTGGCCATCCTCTCCTCTTACCTCTTC